CATATCAAATATAAAGTCTCCATCTCTCATGGTTCAAAAGTTATGGTGAAAATTCGAAAAAGCTATTTTTAGCAAATAGGTCACAGTCAATGTCACAAGGTCTTTGATCTTGATGTCATTTGAAAGAACTTCATTGGTGGAGTATGCATATCAAATATGAAGTCTCTATCTTTCATGGTTCAATAATTATGGCGAAGGTTAAAGTTGATAACAGACAGACAGACAAACAGATAAACTGCTAAACAGACAAACAGACAGGACAAAAACAATATACGCCTCGGATCTATCGATCTGGGCGCATAAAAAGTTGCAAGTTAAATCCCGTACAGCTTGTTATAAACAAATCACTGATCTTGATGAACTTGTCAATCATGACTTCATTTTGGTAAAAGTGACGTATTTCAATTGTGCTGTGAGAGGCAGATTTAGGAATTTTTAACAAAGAAAAATGCGTTTTAGTATAAGGCAGAATATTATTTACAGGTTTTAAATAGGCTATTAATAACAATGTATATCCTTTGTTTAGTGCGATTATTCATTAACTAACGAGAGAATGTATTTAAATAATTTTGTCGTGTTTTATGCTCAGGTTAGGTATATTTTACATCGAGGTGCCGCATTAAAGCCTTCTTTCGCAAGGGCATACACTAAATAAATCTTAACCATTTTTTGAATATAAATAAAGGATATGTTCCTTAACTTGAAAAGTGCTGAGCACTGCTTTCTTTAAATCGAAAGCTTGACTTCATAATTTGGTAAAAGTCAAACATATTTCGACATTGGCCTATTTACTTGAAATTTTATCTATTAAAACGGAAATTCTTTTCAAATCAGCAGCACTTTCCAGAAAGTACAACGTATACAGAAACAATTTAAAGCTTGAATTTTTAATTTCAAGTAGGGTATGCCCTTGCGATATTGAAATTTGTTAATGACCTACATTCAGTACACGTAATATGCATTTATCACGTGACTGTCCATCGATGGGACCAAACTTCATACAGTACAGAGTAGGATATACTATGCTTTTTCCATAAGTATTTAAGTTCTGTGATAATAAAACAGCTGAATAAAAATAAATTCTGTATTAAAAACAGTTCCCGTTTTTGCACTTCTTATTTTCCGTTGATTTCTCATAGTAAGCCTTAACAGTGCTGCGTTGCAGACAAACAGATAAACAGACAGACAGACAGGACAAAAACAATAGACGCCTCGGATCTTTCGATTTGGGCGCATAAAAATCAAGGATGTTCTTTGGACAGTATCGTTAATTTACCCCCACCCCACCAAATGCTATTGCCAGGTGAAGGCCATCTCAAGAAGAGTCATAATCAGGGGCGTAGTATCCGAGGGGGCCAGGGGGGGCCTGGCCCCCCCACTTTTTTCCCAACCTTACTTACACTATAGGAAATGTTAATTGAAAGCCTGGTTGGCCCCTCCACTTTTAGAAATGTACCGAAAATGTAGTATAAGAATTGGTACTAAAAGTAGTTGACACTGAGAAAAAGTTTACCTACCCCCTTTACGAAATAGGATTTTCGAATTTGGGCAACTTTTACCTTTTTTTTTTTTTTTTTTTTTTTGCTTGTCAAATTTTTCAGGTAAGTAAAAAAAAAATTTCTCTGCCTGGCCCCCCCACTTTCAAAAACGATGCTACGCCACTGATAATTTTAAAGAAAAATAAAAGTTATCAAAGCCAAAGACGAATGATTAAACATCAAACTTGAAATAATAATATTTTTATTACTCCAAAGACTTTTTAGAAACATTATTAGTACGACTTAATGTTGATAATTCGTAAAAGGTAAACTTCCGGTGAGGTAAGGTGACGGTCCGTCTATCGGTCTAAATTTTAAAATTTTGTTGACTTTGACAGTACATGTATATTGAAAACTATACTGAATTTGATGCAACATGTATTTTAATTGTCTATTCAAATATGTTTTTCACATACCATTTTTGAGTCTGTGACTGAAAGAAAGATGAAAATCGATAACGTCAGGGCACTGTATCTACGGCTATCACTGTGACTGTAGATAATTAACCAGGTAGCATTAGTAAGAGAATGGTTCAGAAAATATCAGAGTATTTGGTAGAGTAAAGAATCAGAATTTTTATATGCCTTGTTCGTAAACAGATATCAGATTTCAACAGGGTCTAATAATACCGATATTAAATGTGTCATCGAGGGGATACAATTTATTTTGACTTGGAGTTGGGTTTATCCACTAGTTCTTTAGACATTTATTATCTGAAGCTCCAGTATTTGCTGTTTAAAATGCATTTTAATTTGGATTATAGAATCTGTTTACTTGCTTTGGTATTTTTATCTACTGTCAGACTGATAATGTACACTTTAATGACTTTATCACGCTAGAGATATAATTAGAAATTTTTTAACTGATGCTCTCATTTCAACTTCAGTAGCATACTGCATTGTGACATCATCAGGCTCTGGGACCATATTAGACAAGCCCACTTTAGATCTCAATCTCACTTTAATAGCAGAAAATTGAGACTGAGATCAAATGTGAGCTTGTCTAAGTTTTATGGTCCTGAAGCCAGGATTTCAACTTATGATAGTTATCTTACTCCAAACACTAATTCATATAACTTTAATAGTAATTCTTTTCATATTTTGCCTATGAAGTCCTGCTGTATCAGGTAAACACTATCAAATGCATAAAAGGACATAAAAGGAAAATGCATTAAGGAGAGGAATTCACTAAGTTATTTAGAACTTGTTTCCAATCCTTTTGATTGATATCAATAAACTACGTTCAAAACAAACAATGCATAAAAGGACAATAGATTGGAATAATGCTTTCCTCGGTACTTGGAACAGCTCATTGTGTTCTACTGCCCTCTTCCCTTGGCTTTGTAGTTGGCATGGTTCACAATGAGCTGTTCCCAGGGCATTGGGAGGTAGACATATAGGGGGGTAAGTTAACATGGTAATGGGGAAATACCGGTATATGGGGTCCTTGATAAATGCATATTGGATGAAGCGTTAGTGTCTACATAATGAATTTATCCTGTTGAATATTTTTTAATGTAGTTCATTTCCTCTCAATGAATTAAGCAAATGATGTGTAATAAATTCAATTGTTTACATAGTGACAACCTTTGATTCCTATATATGTGATGTTAGTTATTCTTGCATGTTCAGTTGAAAACAACAAAATGAATTTGATCTTGACAGCAGGTCACATGGAGGGGGTGTATTGATTTGGTATGTGGTTAGGAGGTATATGGAGAGGGCATGTTAACAATGTAATTTTGATAGGCAGCATAGTATGATTTCATACAATATTCTTGCTGACCATCTGAAAACTGATGATTTTTATCAGAGGCAGGATATAATTCCAATCTACCCTATAGTTGCCTGATAGGGCATATTACTACATGTATATTGCCTACTTCTGTATGAAGGCAGAAAAAATGCTTGAACTGTTAAAGTTTATAAAAGATATTCAGTGTGGTACATACTTGTAAGAAACATGGGTTGAATTTGGTGCTTTCTGTTTCATTTATGTTCTGCTGAGTGACAATGGTATTTACTTTGCATGTTTCAATCTGAATTACCTACCTGGAAAAAGTTCCTTGATTTTTCAGATGTTGTCTGATATTAGGGATTTATTTATTGGGAAGGTATTTACTAATTGGAGAAAGAAAGATGCTTGCAAGACTGATAGTATATCTTAATGTTTCAAAGACACAGGGGAGTGATTTAGTAGACATCTTCCCATGAAACACAGTCCTATTGATTAAAGACAGTAAAGTTAGAATGGTTTATCTTTGCATTGACAATTAAAAATGCCAAATTCATTAGCATGGGAATATATTCTGTTGATAAGGAAGTCTCTCTGAATACAGAATTTAATTAAACTTAGCAAGGTTTAGAATGAATCAGCAATATTCTTAAAGGTATGTTTTTTTTATTTTTTCTGATGGGGATATAAAACTGTGTACATGTTTTTAAAATATTGCAAAATTTATTTATTAGAGTTGCGTGTAATTGCCAAAGGACATGAGATTTTATAGAAATGTTTACAGTTTTAGAAGTACATGTACTAGCTACTATCACCACTACATAATTCACTAAATTATTTTTGAGAAAAATTAAACTGTGTAAATAAAAAGATTGTATCATGTTTTTATCATATAGTCACTGTTATATACAGTAAAGTGATTCTAAAGTGTATTATTACTTTTGAAAAATTCCCATACTTATTTGACAGAATATATGAGAAGCATAATCACGATAAATGCATTCATTAATGCAGTATGATACCCTGTATTTAATTTTACTCAAATATGAAAGAAAATACTATTAAAAGGAAATTTAACAACAGAATATACAAAAAACAAAAAAATTAGACCCTCTTCAAACCTTCAGTAATGTAAATGAGAACAGGGTTTTATTTCAAGGAAATAACATTCAGTTCAGTGGTTACATATCCTCAATTCAGTCAAGTTTATAGTAGATAAAGCTTGTCAAAACAGACATTGCAAATGCTGCAAATAGATCCCTGTTGTAATGAATCATTTGATTCTAGCATGCATTTTATTTTTAATAACACCAGGTGTCATTTTCTGAGGATTTTTCTTCAGGTTTGCAAACTGCAGATATTGTTGACGCATCTCAGTTATCATTCCAGATTCTGAGTCATCTAGAATATGATAGATTTTTTGTTCTAGATTTCAAAAATTCAATTTGATAAGCAATGTCAGGGGGAAAAAACTTTTTCTACTTTTATTTACTGATCAATAACATTTTAGTAAGGGAATGTTTTTACAATAGAGATAAAATTTCCTTAAAATCAAAGTGACTGAATTATTTACTTCTTATATATATAACAGTTTTTAATAAAATCAATATTGTCAGTTTGAAATGATAAGGCATAAAAAACACTCTTCAAGGTTAAACCAGGAAGTAATATTTTTTCAACCCACAAAATCTAAGATCCATGCCTTGCACACACTTAGCCCTCCAAATAATAGCTCTCTTGAGGATCACCACCTTTATTCACAGTCATGTAATTCTAAGTAACTTAATGGCAGCTTTTCTAATGAAGTAATCAGATTGAGGAAGTCCTTTATTAACACTGTCTGTTGGCTCAGTGAGGTGATCAGAGAGGGGGGTGCCCTGTGATGGAGCCTGTTTTGTACTGTGGCAGTGACCCCCGTTAGCAGCTGTTAGGGAGAGGGTTATCTGTATCAATCTCTGAGTAATATCTCCCCTCTTTCTTTTCACAGGCATTGGTGTAGGACCTTATCTTACAACACAAACAAAGCTTTTGATGTGAAAACTAGGAGCAGAGGCAAGCTGCTATTTTAAATGAGAAATTAAACGGTTTTTGTGAGGTAAAGTATTGATTTATGTGTTCATTTTGTGTATGCACTGTTTACAAATATTTTATAATCAATATTTTGTCATAAAAATTTCTGTATTGTGTATATTATAGATACATGTACTTGGGACTCTGTGATTGGATGTTCAGTGTAATTAAGATAAATTACTTTATGATGTTTATCACCAGAAGAATGTAGATTATTTATTACTCTTGGGCTTTGCCAAGTACATGTATGTGTTGGATATAAATATGTAACATGGTAATTTCTATACCTATGGGTTAACAGTCATGACATTTCATTTATTAGTGTATATATGTGTAGACATTAATAGCTTCTTTCATTTTTTTTGCAAATCTCTTGTTCAAGGCTTATAACTTATATTACTGATTTTCTTTATTTCAGACAGTTCATTACCAATGACTTTATGACACAGATTCAATGGGGGCATGTTATTCAAAGTCAGGTCATGATGTAGACAATGCCAAGAAGAAGTCCCCACATAACAAGAAGCACAAGAATGGAATCGCTGTGACCATTGAGTACAGCCCTGTCAGATCACCCAATCACGATGAAGATAGACTGTCTATTTATGATAATGAAAGTGAGAAAGAGGACAGAATTGTCATAGAATCAAATGGAAATGTTGAAGGACAATGTTGTTCAAAAGTGGTCAAGGACAAAGAAAAGGTTGTGTCTGGTGAAGAGGGTAAAACTAGTGAGAAATGTGACCTAGTGACCTCAAAAGAGAGTTCAGATGAGGTCATAACCTCAGATTCAAAAGTGACAGAGAAAGTCGTGTCGGCGTCAGATAGTGGGATCGAGAGTCTGCCAGCTCAGGAATCGTGTCACTCTAGTCAAACATTTTGTGATAAAACCAAGCCATATCAAAACAGTGACGAGGACGAAACGATAGCTAGCCCCAAAAACACACATGACAGTCACGGTGAGTTTACTGCTCAATCAAGGAGCAGGCCTTATCGTTTTTCTGATATTATCTATCTCAAGTCCAGTCTAAAGAAACCAGGGAGAGCCTCTGGTAGACACAGTCAACTGTCCTGTAAGTCTACGGACAGTCTAGACTGGACGGCTACACTTATCAATAGCCTGGACCGATGTCGAAGTGAGGCCTCAGAATTTTTTTGTGAAGACTTTAACATATCAGCTCCTCTTGCTGCATTTGATTCTGTAGATTTTATGAGCAGTGCAGGGTCTCTCTTGCGGAACAGATTAAGTAGAGCTAGCTTTGTTGACCATAATAATGATACATTTCAATTTCAATTTGATTTTTCTGGAATAGAAGCCGAAGAAGTTGAGGCGAGCTCAGTACCGATAACATCAGAATCGCTACCATGCTCGCCTATTCGTCAAAATACGGTCAGTCCAGATGGTGTGAATCTGGAACTGGCCGGCTCGAAAAGAGCCTCGCAGGAGCTCAGGTAAGTCCAACAGGTAATTACAAGGCAGGGATCCAAAGTCTTCACAGATTGGGTGGTGGTAAAATTAGATTTTATGATTGAAGATTTCATTTATCATCAAGTTGATACTTCATAGGTTTATTTCATGTTTGAATAACATTTTTTTTTCCAATTAAAAATTGAAGGTGAAAGTTATCAATGAAAATATTTTCTTCTGCATGTTTGAAATGGACAGGAGAAAATAGGTCCCCCAAGTACATGACTGTAGCAATTAACATTTCTGTAAACTGGGTATTCTACCCTATTCATTGTATTGGGTTCCATTATACTTGTAGATATACCCCTGGTAAATATTATATCATCTTGAAACAAGTTAAGTTAAAGAAAACTTAGCAGCTATTCATGGATCTGATTAAAGAATTTTCTGAATAAATGGACATTGCCATTTTTCTTTGGAGAAGACTTTGCATTCATGTCATGGCAGCCAGAATTTCCTCTGATATGTTGTCTATCCTGCACAGCTTTATATCTCATATCTTTTACTTCTCATTCTTTCAAGTTTGATTAAATTAGTAATATATACTTTTTTTCCCTTAGAAGTACCTGTAACATTTAAATTTGAATTCACTTGTTGATTTTTTTTTTGAATATTTAATATATCATGGAAAATGATAAATTTTAAAAATAAGTTAATAGAGTTGCAATAGTGTTCTAAAGTCTTAAAGTATGATTACAAAGTTAAATTATTGACCAGTATGTCATTATGAGCCATATATGATAGCTTTATATGTACAACTAAAAAGAAAACTGGATATATGTACCTGTGTGTGCTGTATAGCTTTAATCATCGTAAACTGCCATTTTATCAAACACCATGAATCGTGGCTTTATCATGATCTGTTTATAGTACTTTACAATCTCTGAAAACTTTTCATATATATATATAAATGTATGGTCATGAGTCCATTTTATCCATATTATAACAATACCATGAATACAGTGCTTCTTTTCTATTCATTCATTATATATACTTATAGTTTTTCAAAGACAAGTAAGTTTCATGAATTCTTTGGACATTTTATGTAAATATTGAACATTTCTGTTGTTAATTTTAAAAAGTACCGAGTAATTCATTTTAATATATTCCTATATTGTGAGGTATGTTGGAAGATACACCAGGTATCAGTAATAATATGTACTTAGGTACAGATGGAGAATTTACAATATGTACACTCTGGTGCTTATAGCAGACAGTGATGTTGTATGGTTTACCTCTGTCAGCTTCCATTATACCAGACAACTTGTTGTACCATGTTGTGCTATTTTTAAATAATAGGTTTTTTTGTCATTGGCTGTTTGACAAAATCCAGCTAAGCCTATACATAGTTGCTTGGTCATAGAGAAATTATAAAAAGTTTTGTTAAGATTTTATTAGACACTTTATATCAAAGCACTTTTAAAAAGTTCTTCTTTTAATTATTTTAAAGATTTTAAAGATTTTTTTTTCTTTTTAAACAAATATTGCACAAGTCACAAGGTCATGTACACACTGTCACAGGGATTAGGCATGTTAGGGGAGGGGGTTGTTTTGCATAAAAATGTCTTACTCTAGTATTCAGGGATTAAACAGCATCAGTTTATCATGACTTCATGTAGATCGAATGATGAATTGAAATTTGACACGCTAACCTTAGCCATGCATCAGCTCCTGTAGGCAGTATTGATTAAGTCTTCATTAAATGGAACAAATAGATAATCAATATCTTCTATAATATATACAGTCAACAGTCTTTTAGACCTGTGGGTGTATAATGCATAGTGATGATAATTAATATTCTACAACATTGATTGTGCTTAAAATTCTTAGATAAACATCTTCAAGTACATTTTTTTCCCCAATTTTCACATAGTTTCCTGTACTTAATACTACTCTAGTATTCTAACAAAGTCCATTTTCTAAGAAATACAGAGCTAGAGCTCTACAAGATTAATTGAACCACCTTGCAGAGCATGATAGAAAAATAAAATTCACTTTGTCTATCTGTCTGTGAATCAATATTATCAAAAAGATGACAAAGTCCTCACAAAACACTAGTTTTTCTATAGCTTCTTATTCTGCTTTGTTTTCTGTGCTTAGGCCAAAGTCCATCATGAAAGTGTAAGTAAAGAGGAAATCCTATGCATCATGGGAATGCCATTGCCCAGTCCCTATACCCAGCTTTCAGAATGAAATATTTAGATTTTATGCAACATCCAACTAGTACCTGTTTAATTAAGTGTACATAGTATTCAAAACTTGTGCTTGAAATGTAGTGTGATATACAGTACAAAAAGCATAAATTAGGAAGAGAAACCAGCATGTAAAGAAATATGGTATAAATGCATGGTTTCCCAAGTTAAGTTTTTATGCTCTGTTACAGTTTTAGTGTCATTATTGATACATGTATCATGATTTTGTTTCCAGAAAAGGAATATGTTCCTTCAGCAAATCCAGCATTAAAGAAGTTAAAATTTCCTCGTAGTGAAATCAATATTTTTGCAAAGAAACTCTCAACTATTGAATACCCTTGGTTTCTAGTAATTATGTAATGATTATGATAGAAATAAATACCCCTAACAGTGATTTATAGTTTTTGATACCCCACCACATTCTTATTCACTAGCGTCATCAGTCTTATTCATTGTTTAGTTGGATTTGACACGTTTTTGTATGGTACTCTTTTTAAATTGATAGCTCTTTCACATTTATTTAGATAAGTTGATAAACAATTGATTCTTTTCACTTTTTGGGGGAGGGTGGGGAGTTCTTGATTGCACTAGCACAGTTTATCTTGTGTTTTACCCAGAAACATTTGGTTTTATTTCAGCATAAATAATTTAATGTTGTGTTTTTTGCCTCTAACATAAATGCATGTGTTTGATGGTTGAACACCAGAATGAGTGGTTGATGCATGGTTACACATTTTAACAGAGACTTGAGAGTTTTCTTTTTCTGCACACTTTGTCATTTCATTTCTTTCTGAAACATGCAAGTATTTGAGATCTCAATCACATTTCTCATGAAATACCAGTATGTTCTTATAAAAACGACAATGTATGATGAATGTAAATTTTTCTAAACCAAAAAGTTGTGAATTAAAGGAGTTTTTGTTCACGTAATATTCAATGCATAGTGACCTTACTTTTACAGAAGATTTGACTCCGAGGCTAGTTTAGAGTTGACCTCTACATTTCCAAGGTTAGAGGAAGTGAAGACCATGCAGATAGATGGGAAGGATGTGGTGGTCATTGATGTGGAAACTTATGCACATATCATGGAGGAGTTGGCCATGCTCAAGATGAAGCTCAGTCAGCTGACAGACTTCTTACAGGTCGGGAAATTTATATGGTGGCAAGGCAGAAATTGAATATGTTTTGGACCTCCTTTACAATGAAAGATGTCCAAATTTGCTTTTAAAACTTATCTTTTTTTTAAAACATGCTTTATTACATAGTGACTGATAATGAAAGTATCATCTTCTTGATAGAAAAAATGTTTATTTTATTTGTTGATATGCACTTACAATGTATCTGTTTGTCCATCTGTCTGTGCTATCATGTCTGCCATATAATCAATGAACTCTAAATGGAGAGACCACACAGATTTCTTTTGAAATGATTGTGTCATGACCTTGACCCAAGTTCATTTTAGAAACTTGAGGTTACATATAGAAAACATTTTTGTGTCTGGTGCATAACTTTCCATTGAAGAGACTTAGAAAGTTGTGTATCATGATCTTGACCCTGCAAGTTCATTGGGCAAGTTCAAGGTAGTAAAAATGTAAAACCGTATTCACTATTGAATGCAACAATTTAAAAGAATTTGTCATGTAGTTACATTTTGAGAGGTCTCTTACTGTAGGCCTGTAGTTTAAATATTTATAAAATCACATTTCATTTGTGTATTCTCAGAATTAACATTACAGGAACAAGACTTGCTCCAGCTGGATTCTTCAAGAGAGAGGGCTGATATATCAAGTTTGAGCCAGTCTATAGAAGACTTAATGGACACAGCTTCTGTGAAGAAAACTTAACATGTAATCTTTAAATGAAATTCTATACATGAACATATTATATTTAAATTAGTACTGCTCAAGACTATGTATGTAATTTTGTGACATCAGATTATGGAACAAAGAATGTAAGATTTCTATAAAAACCAATTAACTGTAGATAGTAAAATATAAAAATAGAAATATAGTACGTCAGGAATTTGGATTAAATTTAAGCATTTTTTTTGTAGTTGTATAATTCTTTGAGAGAGAAAAGTCATTCCATTGTAAACCTCATGAATCATTCAGCATCATACAGCTTGGAGAAGAAAGGATCCGTCCTATAAAAGTGCTAAGGGAAGGCCGAAAGTCTCCATCATTGGTTCAGATCTGTCTGTATTCATTTCAGTTTGGATTGATGCAGATAGGATGCTTTTTTACTTAATGAGCATAAGGCCATATCCTTGTATTATGTTAACAAAGACTTATTTTTTTGTGTGTTCCATTCTGAATTTCATTCATCAGAATGAAAGTCTGCAGTTTTATTTTTATACTTTTTTTTTATCTTTCAGAAACAAAAAAAGGAAACACAAATAATATTACATAAGTTCATTAAGCAACTGATTTTATTTTCTTGTTTTTTATTTAATATTTATTCTATTTTATCTTATCAAAGAATGTGGCTAAGAATACTTTTTCATTCATTTCTAAGAACAAAAAAATTAATCTGTACTGTCTTTTCTGTACATTTGCATCATTTTAGTTGGGATTTTGAGAGAAATATGGAAGCAGAACATAGTTCATAGACTTATCAATAGGTTGGTTCAGTGTATGTGCACTTGATAAAGGTTGTAGAAGGGGATTTTTATTTTTAATAAAAAGAATACATATTTTTTTGTCATGTCACATAAAAGAGTTTATACATGGTGTGGAAGCTATCAAAACTCTAAAACACTTTTTTTTTGAGAGTGAATAAAAAGAGAATTTTTATATGATTTTAAGTACATGTAAAATATGACTACATGATTTTTAGCTTTAAGAGAATTAAACAACAATCATGGCAAGCATTCCTAATTGACTAAGGTCTTCGTAGCTTTACCTTTTTAAGTTTCCTTTATGTTATGTATCATAAAATGTAAAAAGGGTAAAACTTCAGGTGTTATTGAACCAAAAATCAAGATCTTAGCCTAGTACTTGTTATAGTTAGTAGTTCAGGTACATGTATCAACACCAAAGTTAGCTATATAGATCTAGTCATACAAAATATAAAGAGAAATGTGTCTGAAAAATTTATTTTCATTTAAATCATTAACAATGAAAACGCATCTAGGGGGAGATAACTCTCCATGTAACCTCCTCAATGTTCATAAACATTACACGCTTTAAGGTAAAAAAATAAGTAGTAATTTATCTGTTTTAGCATTGTTATTTATCAATTTGTGTTTGAACGTGAAATTTAGCTTTTTTTCTCTTTGCGTAGTTGAAGTCTGAAATTGGTGCATACCTCTCTTTCAAACGCAATTTCTTCATGTGTTCATAATGATAGTACAGTATTCATATACATGTACTAAATTATTCTTTGTTCACTATTTTGTCCTTACATTGTAATACACCTTTTGTTAGAAATGATCATGCATTATAAATTTAAAACAGAAACTTTCTAACAAACTAAATAATGAGTAAACAAGTGATACAATGTTCCATTTGAATCGCAACACAATTTCGCTTTTTTTATATATGTTGTGTATCAAATGAAATAAAAGAAAAAAAAATATTTTTCTTATGCTAAAATACTTTTTTTCTTCTGACGGACCATAATTTTGCTTCATTTATTTCATAAAATTTATACAATGTACCACTGAAGATTCAAGTTTTAAAATTTAAACAAAGAAATGTTTATGGAGACTGAAAATAATATGATGAATTTTTAAAAAACTTTTTTAAGGATAATTCAGGAGTCAGATAATATTATATGTTTTCAGATTTATTCAAAATTTAGTGTACAGATTAAAATCACTGACTTGACAGTAATTATAAAATAACATACATACATGTATCTTCTTTCCCAAAGATGCCAAAATATAACACAGAAAAGTTAAGAATGTGTATAGTGTATAGATTTTAGTGAAATACCCATGTACTAGAATGAAGCTGTAAGTCCCTGACTGGTATCAATTCATTCTCTGGCTATTATTTTGAAGATTTCATACAAAATTAACCCAACTACCCCTTTAGTCATCTTTTGTGAAGATGTGATCGCTTATATAATGCATTATAATCACAAATGATTAATGATATTTTTAATTGATTTCTATCTTGTTTATTTTTTCAAATTATTTATGTTAACAAATTACATTAAACTACTGGTTAGATTTTTTTTATAACTGGATTGGTATTCATTTAAATCAGTCACTGAGGAATTAATAAAACACAGTACAAGGATTACAGAAAGGTACTGTGTTGAAAAAAATGAAGTTACAACTTCAATGTTTGTCGGCCTTTTGTTGAAATTGGGCAGAAAAATTATTATGAGCTTTTTTAAAAAAAAAAGTTTTATTTTGGAATAGATGAAATAAAATATTGTTTTAGTTTTAATGAGTTTGTTGTTTTTAGCAATGGCTCTGCTTCCACATAAGTTTTGGCATTTTCAAGCCCATGCAGTGGTTCTTGAAGAGATTTTTTTTTAATGACTCTACCCTATTTTTATCTTTTTTATTACCTACCAAAAGGGAGTTTGGTCTTTCTTTTAAAAATTAAACTCTCCTCCCAAGGATTTTTTACACCAACTTTGGTCAAATTTGCCTTGTAGTTCTTGAGAAGAAGTTGAAAATGTGAAATGTTTACCATGAGACAGAAAACAGGTCTGAAGACTATAAACTGAGAACAGACAACTGAGTCAAATTTTCATTTTTTAATATCTTGAGCTCTATGTAACATATGTGCATAAAAATTTGCAAATTTTTGTAATAAACACATTCACACACATGTTGAAAAATTGTTTCATCATCAAAACTATTTTAAATACATGTATATATAAATAAAAGTAGAATTACAATTTTGACTTAAGTTAATGTTCTCAGTTTATTGCCTTGAAGCTAGGTAATCAGAAAAATTGACGAGCTCTCAGCTCGGGGGAGCTTAGCCAGTCATCAATTACACTATTTTAGCAACCATTTTGAAAGGGCGAACCTAGCCAGTTATCAATTGCACTATTCTAGCATACCATTTAGAGAGACAAACAGAAAAGGGGACCAGAACATCTATTAATTTGACCCCCCCCCTTCAAAAAAAACTTACTAAGGGACTAAGAGTGAATATTTTAAGAGCATTGTGGTAGATCTCAGTCCAGTCCTATAGATTTATATCTGTCTCCTAAAGCAATGGATAATTGGCACTTGCTACTATGATTAATTCCCAGTTTTGATTCTGATCTGATCTCTACAACTTATTATGAGTTTAAGGTGTCTTTGGGTCAAGTATACAGTATCACAATGTATTACGTTGATATTAAAAAAATTCTCGAGTTTCTGATGGAGAATATGTAGTTCTTGAGATTGTCTTCCAACATTTCAATCTGTCGAAATTCCCATGGGTACCAATCGCACCCCATTATGAGCAGACCTATTTTTGTATCTATATAAATCAGAATTCGTTCAAACTAGAGGCAATTTGAGCACTGAGCTCACTAAATGATACCCCCGCCTCCCATGTGATTATAATAGCGAAGTCCATGTTTTGCTCTGGGAGGCCCAAAATAATGGTCAGATCAAAAAGTAAAATCAGAGGTGCACAATCGCATAATGTAATAAAGAATCTCTGAAAGTATCATTAAATGTTATTTAGTAGTGAAGGACAAGTTCCGGATGAGAGATTGGTACCCTTCAATATTATAGAAAGAATGGCAGTGTCCATGTTTTGCAACTGGAAACCCAAAATATGTGTGATCAAAAAATATTTAGATATATCGACGACGTATTGTCAATTAACAGTGGTTATTATATCCCCCGATTGAAAAGCCACTAAGAATTTAAAGACAAGGTTATAAAGATTGAGAATAAGTGTTTTATATATTTATATTTTAATTTCTTGATTGATAACATCATGAACATGTTGACCGGGATTGGAAATAGCAATATGCATTATAAAAACGATAATTTACAATACCCGGTATTTTGTTGTTTTTTAATGTTAATTTTACATAGCTCTTGAATGAAACAAAATTATCAACATTTGCCTCATTGTAAAAATTACAAAGAACTGATGCTAGACTAGCACTATATTTAACGTACCAGTCTTGGCCAGATTCAGTACGTGTTCGTCCCACATTCTTTGAAGGGTAAACAAGTCTGTCGCCGTTGAATTCTTTTTCAAATTCTCCATAAATAAATAGGCGAACAAAATGCACTTCTTCTGTTGAGCTAGAAGTAAATGATACATTAAAGATATTAAATAAGTGCACAAAAATAAAAAAAATAAAATAAAACACTAAATATAGTGTCACATGATCTAATGATGTTTTAATATTACACTGTAATATTGCACTTCAAACTAAGAAACGGTTTTATTGTTGTTTTGTTGATTATAAGAAGGCTTTTGACTCCATCATTAGGGAAAAATTATATAGAAAACTGAAGTATTATGGTATACAAGGGAAACTTCTTACAATTATTCGTTCCATGTATTCTAGAATTAGAAGCTGTGTAAAATCCTCTGATCGTATATCAATTTTTTTTGAAAGTCGTGTTGGTCTTTTACAAGGGGAAGTTTTATCGCCCATGCTGTTTGTATTATATGTTAATGATCTTGAAAATGAGTTCATAAAGCAGGGTAACACGCCTACTGATTTGCAGTTATTAAGCCTTTATCTTTTAATGTATGCAGATGACATGGTATTGTTTTCAGAATCAATTGATGAATTACAAAGCATGTTAAATACACTAGAGTTATATACGCACGAGTGGGGTCTAGATGTAAATGTATCAAAAACTAAAGTTGTTGTTTTTAGAAATGGTGGGAAAGTCCGCGCAAATGAAAAATGGATATATAATGGTGAAAATATAGAAATAGTGGACCAATTTGTCTATTTAGGCATTGTGTTTAACTATAACTGTAAATTCCTTATTGCTCAAAAACAATTAGCTACACAAGGTCGCAAAGCTATGTTCGCTCTCAAATCAACAATGAAGCAGCTTTGTCTAAATCATTGTACTTTGTTTTCCATTTTTGATACCTATGTGTGTAGTATCTTAAACTATGGATGTGAAGTTTGGGGATCCCACAAAGGCCAGGACATTGAAAAGGTTCATCTTGAGTTTATACGATATGTACTCGGGGTCCGTAAAACTACAAACACGTCCATGTTGTACTTTGAGACAGGACGTCTACCTATGTACCTTATTCGTATTTATGGAATGTTTAAATTCTGGTTTAAATTATTACAGTCTGAAAATTGTATATTAAGAGCTGCTAATGATTGATCTTATTGTAGTTCTGAAAATGATAAGCAAAATTATCAAAGTTGGGCAAAATTTATCAAGGAGCAACTGCATTATATGTGGAACGACCAAAGGAATCTGAATAGTCGTATCTGTCTGCCAATCATTCGTCAAAGACTTAATGATCACTTTATACAGACCCTATATAGCAAAATGCAAACAGAATCAAAATGTTATATTTATAAGCATTTAATTGACAATTTTTGCTTGCAATATTATTTAGAAAAATCGATACCAAAGGTGTACAAAAAATGTATTTCTAAAATGAGGTTGTCCTCGCATAATCTGTTTATTGAAACGGGTAGGCATAAAAATATAACAAGAGCTAAAAGATTCTGTAAAATATGTACTATAGAAATTGAAGATGAATATCATCTTTTACTTGTATGCCCAATTTATTCAACACTGCGATCAAAGTTTTTGAAAAAATATTATTGGTATAGGCCATCTATGTACAAATTAATACAGTTGCTAAGTGTGAATAATGTAAAAGAATTATGTAATTTAGGGAACTTTATCTATAAAGCCCTCGCGCTTAGAAATGATTTAATAATGTAATTGTGTGTCATTTGCTGATTTGTGTTATTTACTTCTATATTGTTCATATGATTATATCTGCTATATTACATGTCATTCTCCATATGAACTGTAAAGACTGTTAATACTAGTTTGTATGTATATATGCCAGCCATTATTTCCTTTATTTCTTTTGTTTATATATTGTATTAATGCTATAAGACGTATGTCTTTTGCAATAAAGAAATTGAATTGAATTGAGTACGAGGGCTGCTCAATGAATAATGTCCTCGATGTTCGGAAAGAAGCAAAAGGCGCTTTTCAATTATTTAATCTTCATGATTTAACTTATTAATCTCTTTTAATTAAAACACATGTCTGTAACATTTTGTATCCAATTTCTGATTGTTTTTAGAACTCATTTTTGGGTATGACCCTTAGTATACTGGAAAATGGCAGATCCAATGATTTCCTGGACTTGTTTCTTCCTTCTGAAAAGGTGTTTTTTCAAGTCTGGAAATAGAAACAAGTCAAAAGGTCAAAGATCTGGCGAATATTGTTAATGTGAAAAAACATTAACTTTCTGTTTATCCCGAAAACCCCTTTACTCTTCAGGACGCGCGGGTTTGGACGCTGTCATGAAAAAATTTATTGTAGCTGATTCCTGATTCTAGGTCC